CCTCCCGCGGAGCGGACGAGGAGCGCGGCGCCCGGGTTGGAACACGCGTTTATTCAGGGAGGCCGGGGCGCGGGTTCACCAGGCGAAGAGCGGGCGGCTGTCCTCCTTGGAGAGCTCGCAGAGGCAGTTGAGCAGCAGCAGCGAGTCGCCCAGGAACTTGGGCGGCACCACGTCGATGACCAGCTTGCGCAGGGCGGCCGGGCTGCTGTGCAGCGGGTCGGCGCGCAGGTCGGGCCGCTGCTTCAGGATGCCGTAGGTGTTGATGAGGAACTCGCTGAAGGCCGGGTGCACGTCGCGGCTGTAGCCCAGCCTCTCCAGGCGCGCCGTCAGCGTCAGGTAGCGGTGCGTCAGCTCCCGCAGCTTCTTCTCGTCCACCGAGCCGTCCAGGGACTTGATGGACGTCTGGGGGCACACAGACGATGGTGGGCGGCGCCCCGCGACCCCACCAGGGAGGGGCCAGGGCGGGGACAGGGACCCAGGTTCCGTGAGCAAAGCCTGTAGATGGGAAACTGAAGCCCGGAGCCAAGCCGCCATCCCAGTGGAGACGGCCTTGCCCTCCAGGAGACCCCACCTCCGACATGGCAGGGGTCTCCACCCGCGCTGGGAGAAGGCAGCTTGCCAGGCAGAGCTGAGCCTCAAGGGCTCCGTGGCCCCAGAGCCATTCCTGAGACTGTCCCAGGCCACCAAAGGACAGGGCAGAAGCAGAGGTCCTCACAGCCCGCTCATTGCCTCCCCTGGCATGTGTGCCTCAGACACCACTCAGCCTCAACCAGGCCTGCAGGCGTATGGGCATCACAGGTCACAGGGCAGGAAGGGTATCCCCGGGCAGGGAGAGGACCCTGGGCAGGGAGGGGACCCTCTGGGGGCAGTGAGGGGACTCCAGGGCAGGGAGGGGGACACCCTGGGGCAGGGAGGGACCCCAGGCAGGATCGGGGGTTCCTGGGACAAGGAGGGAGCCCAGCCAGGCTACCTGCTTGATCTTCTCAGGGATGTTGGACACGGTGAAGCCATAGAGCCGGGTCACCCCTGGGAAGACATAGGCCAGGATGCGCCGGTCCAGCTGGAAGGCAATCTCCCCGACTATTCTCCCGTCCTTTTCAGTGCTGGTGAAGCTCTGGATCTCTGCAGGGGCGGGGGGTGTGGTGAGACTCCCCAAGCAGCCCAGATCCCAGGTCCTTTCTTCATCCCTCTAAAATGGACGTGAACACGTTAAAAGCCTGTTTTACAGCCCAGGATTGTTTTCTTTTTCCCCTTGTCACCAGCGAGTCTACCAGCACCTGGTCTGAGGTGACCACCCTGAGGCCCTGGCCCTATGACCAGGTGAACTTGGGATAGGCTAGGCGTGTCCCCAACCTGGGGGTGGGGTCCTGGGTCACTCAAGAACACATATGTAACACGTATGGGTCCGGTCTGTGTGGCTATGTGGAACGGTGAGGCTGTTTTGGCAACCCCTGTGCATCACACGCTGGTCTAATGTTTATTTGATAATCTGACTCTTTCTTTCCTACGTTGTGCAGAGGATTGCTGGATTGGCAGGAGATTCTAATTATATTTCCCCAACGTTACCCAGCACATCATCTACCCTCCCCTCCAAAACCTCAGACACCTGTGTCTGGCATTGTGGTTGGGTCAGAGGTAACTGGGCAGGGAGGGTCCTGGCGGCAGGGGCTCAAGCCCCTCACAGGGGCCCCGGAGGCCACCAGCTCCAGGCCGGCTACAGTTGGGCTGTGGCTGTCCTTGTCCCAAGGCCACCTCCTGTCCTTCTGTGACCTGAATCATCCTCAAGGTGACCTTCGAGGGGCCTCGGACCCCACTTACAGACAAAGGATCTGAGGCTGTAACACCACTTCCCAAGCACTTTTAAATATTTTATGAGATACAAAATTCACTCTTTTCAGGTATGCAGTGTGTATATTCAACAAGTTGTACAACCGTCACCACAATCTAACTCGAAAACAGCTTTATCACCCAGCAAAACCCCCGTAGCCATCAGCAGCCACTCACAAGTCTCTCCCCTGCAGCCTCAAATCTGCTTTCTATCCCTGTGAATTTATCCATTCCGGACATTTCATAGAAGTGGACTCGCACAATATGTGGTCTTTTGTGACCACTTCATTCACTCAGCATCATGCTTTCATGGCCCATCCACATTGTCACGTGTGTCAGAACTTCATCCCTATTTATGGCTGAATAACATTCCAGTGTGTGAGTACAACACATTTTGTTTACCCAGTCCTCCGTGAACAGGCATTCGGGCCATTTCCACTTTTTGGTTATTATGAATAGTGCTGCTGTGAACATTCATATAGAAACATTCATATTGTGTGGATAAATGCTTTCAGTTCTTTAGGCAACATACCTAGGAATGGAATTGCTCAGACACAAGATAACTCTATGTGCAGCGTTTTCAGAAACTGCTCAACTGTTTTCCACAGCAGCAATGTATGCGGGTTCCAGCTCCTTCACATCCTCCCTAACACTTGCCGTTGTCTGTCGTTCGTATTGCAAGCGCCCTAGTGGGTGTGCGTGTGTCTCACTGTGGTTTCCTTTTGCACTCACTGATGGCTGACGGTACTGAACATCTTCTCACGTGCTTATGGGGCTTGCTATGTCTTCTTTGGGGCAATGTCTCTTTAAGTTCTTTGCCCATTTTTAATTGCATTGTTTGTCTTTTTACTGTTGAGTTGTAAGAGTTCTCATATATTCTGGATACTATTTCCTTATCAGACACATGATATACACATATTTTCTCCTCTGCTGTGGGTTGACTTTTCACTTTCTTGAAATGTCCCTTTGAAGCACCAAAGTGCCTGATGTGTCTGTTTTTCCTTTTGTTGCTAGTGCCTTTGGTGCCACAGCCTAGAATCTATTCCCAAATCCAAAGTCATAAGATTTGTGTCTATGTTTTCTTCTAAGAGTTTTATGGTTTTAGCTCTTCTAGGTCTTTTAAGTCTTTGATCCATTTTAATTTTCATATGTGGTGTGAAGTCCAATTTCATTTTTTTGCATGTGGATATCCACTTTCCCAACATAATGTGTTGAAAAGATTGTTCTCTCTCCACTAAATTGTCTTGGTGCCTTGTCAAGCACCAATCCTATAAATGCATGTTTCTAAATGTAGGTACTGGGGATTGAACCTATTTGTACCACACTGTCTCTGTTACTGTAGCTTCATAGCAAAGTTTGAAACTGGGAAGTGTGAATCCTCCAATTTTGTTCTCCTTTTTCAAGATTTTTGCCTATTCTGAGTTCCGTGTATTTCCACACAGATTTTACAATCAGCATGTCAATTTCTGCAAAGAAGCTAGGTGGGATTTTGAATGGGATTTCATTGAAATTCATAGATCAATTTGGGGAGTTTTGTCATCTTGATAATATTAAGTCATTTAATCCATGAACAGGTTTTTTTCCATTTATTTAGGTTTTCTTTCATTAATTTCAACAATGTTTTGCAGTTTTTAGTGTACTCCTTCCTTAATCACTTTGCAAGGCTACAGAAATCACCCAGGAATTAAAGCTGAGAACCAGATGCATCACACAGAACCACGTTAGAGAAGGGGGCATGGAGGGGCAGGGCACAAACTCCTCCTTCGATGTTAGTATGTTTCTCTCATCAGGACTCAGTCTCTCTCCCTGCCCCCCACTCCAAAGCACAAATTAGGTGAAAGAAACAAGCTACACCTGAAATGATCTAGAAACCATTTGTCAGTCAACCTGGACCTTCCAAGATCCAGCCAAAAATCTATTCCTCAAAGAAAGGAGTCAATAAGATTGATAAACTTTAGCCAGACTTACTACAGAAGAAGAGAAAAGGCAAAAATTACCACTGTCAGAAGTTAGAGATGGCATCACCACAGAGTTTACAGACATTAAAAGGATAATAATGGAATATTAGGAACAATTTTATGCCAATAAATTTAACAATTTAAATGAAACAGACCAATTCTTTAAAAGATACGAAAGTTTGCTTCTGTCAGTGAACTACCAAAGCTCACTCAGGAAGAAATAGATCATCTGAATAGCTTTATACCAACCAAGGAAATTGAAGCTGTTGGGGCAGAGGGGTATGTCCCTACAAAGAAAGCTCAAGGTTCAGGTGGTTTCATTGGTGAATTTTACCAAACACCCAAGGAATAAATAGTGCCAATTCTACACAGACTCTTCTAGATAATTAAAGAGGAAGGGACACTTTCTGCCTCATTCGTTAAGGCTAACACTAACCTGATACCAAAACACACACAAAAAATGACATTATGAGAAAAGTATAGACCAGTGTTCCTCACAGACAGCAAAAATTCTTAACAAAAAGTTAGCAAATTGAATCCAACAATACAAAAAATATAATATATCATGACTAATATATCATGAGATTTATCTCAGGAATGTAAGGTTGGTTTATAATTCAAAAATCAATCAGTGTAATTTACCATGTTAACAGACTACAAATGAAAACCAAATGTTCATCTCAGCAGATGCAGAAAAAGCATTCAACAAAATCCAACATCCATTCATGGCAACTCAAAGCAAACAAGGAATTAAAAGGAACTTCCTCAAACAGATGAAGAGCATCCACAAAACTCAGCTAACACCATGCGTGCTGGTGGCAGACTGACACTCCCTGTAAGTCAGGGAAAGACAGCAGTGCCCACTGTCACCATTTCTATTCAACACTGTTCTAGCCAATAAAACAACAAAAGAAAGAAAGAAAGAAAGAAAGAAAGAAAGAAAGAAAGAAAGAAAGAAAGAAAGAAAGAAAGAAAGAAAGAAAGAAAGAAAGAAAGAAAGAGAGAAAGAGAGAAAGAGAGAAAGAGAGAAAGAGAGAAAGAGAGGAAGAAAGGAAGAAAGGAAGAAAGGAAGAAAGAAAAGGCGTACAGATTAGAAATGAAAAAATGAGTTTGCCTTTATTCACAAATGACATGATCATCTATCCTAAGGAATCTACACAAAAAGCTACTAGAACAAATATGTGGGTTCAGTTAAGTTTCAGGATAAAAGGTTGTATTTGTCAGGGTTCTTCAGAGAAACAGAAACAGAACCATGTGTGTGTTTATTATAAGGAATTGGCTCACGTGATTATGAAAACGAACAATTCCCAAGATCTGTGAGGGGGAATCAGCAAGCTGGAGACTCGGAAGTTGTTATAGCCCCAGCCTGAGTTAAAAGCCTGAGAACCAAAAGAACTAATAGTGTGATTATAGTCCAAAGGACCGGAGACTTGAGACCCAAGAAGAGCTGTTATTTCAGTTGCAATCCAAAGACAGTCAGGCAGGAGGAACTCTGTCTTACTTGGAAGAGAGTCAGCCCTTTTGTTCTGCTCAAGCCTTCAACTGATTGGATGAGGCCCACCCACATTAAGGAGGCAAATCTGCTTTACTCAGTCTATCAATTTAAATATTAAATTGATCCAAAAACATTCTCACAAAAATACCCAGAATAATGTTTGACCAAATATCTGGGCACCTAATGGCTCAGTCATGTTGGCAAATAAAATTAACCATCATAGAGTCAACATACAAAATCAACTGTGTTACTGTATGCCAGAAACAAATAATCAGAAATTCATACTAACAAAAAAATACTATTAATTATAGCATCAAAACCATGAAATATGAAGGGGTAAATTCAACAAAACTGTGTAATGTCTGTTCATAGAAAACCATAAAATACTGCTGAAAGACATTTTTAAAGAACGAAATAAATGGAGAAATACAGAGGGAAACCTTGGAGATACTGCAGGTTCCATTCCAGACCACCAGAACGTAGCAAATAGCACGAAAAAGCAAGTCACATGAACTTCTTGGTTTCTCAGGGCATATGAAGTTTCACTATACTGTAGTCTATCATGTGCAATAGCATTGTATCTAAAAATATATATACATAACTTAATTTTAAAATGCTTTATTGCTAAAAAATGCTAATCATCTTCTGAGCCTTCAGTGAGTAATAATCTTCTTGCTGGTGGAGGGTCTTGCCTCAGTGTTGATGGCGGCTGACTGATCAGGGTGGTGGTTCCTGGAGTCTGGAGTGGCTGCGACAATTTCTTTAAAAGGGTAACAGTGAAGCTGCCACATCGATTGACTCTTCCTTCCATGAACAACTTCTCTGTAGCATGCAATGCTGCTTCGTAGCAATTAACCGCTGGTAGAATTCTTTCAGAATTAAAGTTAGTCCTCTCAAACCCTGACGCTGCTTTATCAACCAAGTGTGTGTAGTAGTCTAGATCCTTTGTTGTCACTTCAGCAGTCTTCACAGCATCTTGCCCAGGAGTAGATTCCATCTCAAGAAGACACTTTTTTTGCTGATCGTAAGAAGCAGCTCCTCCTGTGCTGAGGCTTTGTCCTGAGACTGGAGCCGTGAGGGCCCATCTTCAGGCTCCACTTCCAGTTCCCCCGCTGCTCCCACCACGTCTGCAGCTCCTTTCTCCACTGAGGTCTTAAGCCCTCCAGTCACCCACGAGGCTTGGAATCCACTTCTTCTTCTTCCAAACTCCTGTTGGTGTTGACACTTGCACCTCTTCCCGTGAACCATGTTTTAATGGCATCTGGACTGGTGAATCCTTTCCAGAAGGTTTTCCAATTACTTTGCCCAGACCCATCAGCGGAATTGCTGTCTATGGCGGCTACAGGTTTACGAAGTGCGTTTCCTAAATAACAAGGCTCGACGGTCCACAGGATTCCTTGATCCACGGGCTGCAGAGGGGGTGTTGTGTCAGCTCAGAAACAACATGAATCCACTGTCCGTCTCCCTCAGAGCTCTGGGGAGACCGGTGTGTTGTCAGTGAGCAGTCATACTTTCAAAGGAATCTTTTTTTTCTGAGCAAGAGGCCTCAGTACTGACCTTAAAATATTCAGTAAACCGCGTTGTACACAAACGTGCGGTCCTCCGGGCTTTGCGGCTCTGTTTGCAGAGCACAGGCAGAGTTGACTGGGCATCGCTATTCGGGCCCGAGGATTTTCAGAGTGGTAGATGAGCACTGGCTTCAACTTAGAGTCACCAGGTGAGACATCAAAGGTCACTGATCACAGATCACCATAACAAAGACAGTAATAATGGGAAAGTTTGAAACACTGCAAGAGGTACCAAAACGTGACAGACGTGAAGTGGGCAAATGCTGTTGGAAAAATGGCACTGACAGACTTGCTCAAGTTAGAGTTCCCACGACCTTCAATCTGTGAAAAATGCAGTATCTGCGAAGCACAGTGAAGCAAAGTGCTATGAGATAAGACATGCCTGGGCGGTGCTCATGGCTCTGAAGATGCAATGTTGTTAAATGCCTCTTCTCTGAAAGTTGATCTACGTGACCTGGAGGTCCGGGACAATGCCAATCAGAATCCCAGGAAGCTTTTTTTGTAGAGATGGGCGAGTCGTTTCTAAAATTTGTATGAAAATGCAAAGGTCCTAGAATAGCCAGAACAACTTTGAGGAAAAGGACAAAGTTGAAGAACTTAGACCCTCTGATTTGCGGTCTTACTATAAAGCCACAGTGACTAAGACAGTGTGTGTTGGAACCAATATGGACACAGATAAATGGGACAGCCTGGGGAATCCAGAGACACACATACTAGGACAACGATTTGTGATAAAGGCGTCAACGCAATTCAATGGGAAGAGAATAATCTTCTTAAACACTGGGTTTTCCCAGGCATTCGGGACCAGAGTTTCCAGAGATGCGGCCACTGAATATTTACCTTTAAAAGGTTCTAGTGGTGATTAATGTGAACCTATCTGTAAGTATCAATCTTCAGAATTTGGGGCCTCAGCCTTCCAGGAACCACGGCCTTCGGGAGATTTTTATTACCCACCGGAGTCCTGTATAGTGGGTCTCAGCAGGGGCTGCCTTGTGCTGAGCTGGGGAGCGAGAGGGAGGGACGTGGGGCTAGAGAGGGATTGGCACCCTCCGGTCACAGCAAGGTGGGAGACAAAGACTGCGCAGCCAGTAAAACCCCCAGCTGTGGCGAGAACGCGGCCTCTGCTGGAATTCTGTTTTCATAATAAAATACATAATCTTATTAAAAATAATAAAGGCATATGGTAAAAAAATTTTAACACTGGTGCTGGGAGAAGTGGATACCTAATGCAAACCTCATACCACACGAAAGTTAACTTGAAATTGAGCAGAAACCTAAATGTAAAACCAAAACCTATAAAACTTCCGGAAGAGAGTACTGGAGAGGATGTCTGCGACCTCCGTTTTGTCAAGGATTCCTTGAGTAGGACACAGAAAGTGAGAATGCATATGAAAGAAAAAACCCAGTGAACTGGACTTCATCAAACTAGTGTTGCTCTTCAAAAACCACTGTTAGGAAGACGGAGCAGCCAGACTGGGAGCCCATGTCTGCAAAACATAGACCCCCAAAAGGCCGTGTCCAGAATACACAAAGGACTCTCACAACTCAGTCATAAGGTGAGCAACTCATTTTTTCAAATGGCCAACGATTTGAACAGACGCAGCACCAGACCCGGCCTCCCGGGCACACTCTCCTCCTGCTGCGGACGGATGAGGGTGGAGGAGCCGCGCCACGACCACCCTCCCAGCTGCCGGCCGCCCCGCCTGCCCTGGCCGCGTACCGTTAAGATAGTAGCTCCTCCTGGTCCGGTCCCCGGAGGGCAGGCTACTCTCCGAGAAGCACACCCTCTTGGGCCGGACCACCTCCCTGGGCTCCAGCAGGGTCTTGTCCACCAGCGGGTCCTGGGAGGGGCTGAGGAGCGGGGACAGCTTCCTGTTGGAGCCACGGGGCACACGCAGCTCCGCCGAGTCGAGGAAAGCCTTGAAGGGCGCCTGGGCGGAGGTGGCACACCCCGGGGACGCGTCATCCTCGCTGGAGAGGGGGGCGTGTGAGCACAGCAGGTCCTCCAGGGAGGACGTCTGCAGCTGGGAGGGGGCCTCGGGGACACCGGTGAACCTTCCAAAGTCTGGAACTGGGGCAAGGAGGAAAGGGGGGAGAGGTCAGCTGATGTCCCTGAAATAGCCAAGAAGCGAGGAGACGGCTCTGGGAGCACTCGCAAGCCAGCCCGAGCTCTGACACCTGCGCACGCTCCCCAGGTAGGGGATGGGGTGGGGGACGCCCCACCCACTCCAGACGCTTCCCCCCGCCCATGCACCCACACACTCTGTACTGTACTGTGACTGTTTACGCTCCGAAATCTTACCCAAATGGTGTCATCTGACGTGTTTTACTCTGAAACATACCTTTTAGCTGTAGCTTTCTCTTCGATATTTACCCACGGTGAGTGGGTCATTCGGTAGCTGGATGGTTCACTTAACCATTTCCTGACACATGTGCACACCCACACAGACACACCCACACAGACACACCCACACACCCACACAGACACACACACACACACACACACACAGACACACCCACACAGACACACACACACACACACACACACATTTTTTACCCATCGCCCTACTGATGCACGCGGGGCTGTTTCCAGGTCTCCTTGCAAAGCAAAGCCGTGCTCAGCAGCCTTCGTGGGCCTCCCCGCCACGGCCAGTGCCGTCTGCTGAGGGCACCTGGGCCCAGGGGTGTGTGTGCTTCAACCTTCTTGCTCTCTCCAGCCACGGTGGTATCTCCACGACCACCAGCCACTTCACCAGGGCGTGGCAAGCTTGGGCCAGGCTAATGGTGACACGTGGCTTTTGCCCAGTCCCTGGTGGCGTCGAGCACCTCCTCACGCGTTCTCTGGCCTTTCAGGCTTCGTCTCCATGAACTCTGTGTGCTCACTGTTTTGGCTGGCTGGTCTTTTAGGGTTACACGCACCTGTTCTTTTTATATTCTGCGTACTAATCTCTTGTTGATGAAATGCCTTGTGTCTTCTCCCAGTGGGTGCCTTGTTTATACTTCAACCTTTTTTAATGCTAATTATTCTCATGTGGAATTTTTAAAACTTTAATGTATTTCACTAAATTTTCATCTGATTTAACAAATTTTAAAATAAGTTTTAACATATCGATTCTTTTGTGGTTTATGAAATCCTCTTCTATCTCCATGTCATAAATTTATTCTCCTAGCAATAATGCAAATATATATTTGAGCAACTGTTTTTTAAGATTTATACTGAAAAATTATATCCTAAAATGTGCCTACTCAGGAACAAACTGATCTATCCCCACGATACTTCCCCAGGGGAAAACAAATGTTCAAAAGAAGGAAAGTCGTCAGAATGTGTGCCTTTTTTTTTTTAATTTTGTTTTTGTTTTTATTTTGGGGGAGAGGAAACTCGGCTTATTTATTGACTTATTTATTGCAGCGGAGGTACTGGGGATTGAGCCCGTGCTCTAAGCACATGCTCTACCACCAAGCTCTTCCCTCCCCCGTGTCCTGCCTTCTGACCACAAGGCCAGCACAGTCAATCCTGGCGGCCCCTCTCAGGGCGTTACCTCCTCCTGCCCCAGCCAACCACACGGCCCAGAAACTGTCAGCGAGACACCTTTCAGGAGTCACCAAGCATTTGGATCAAAGATCCCCAGAGCTGGGCTCTCCCCGCAATTGGGCCCCAGAGAAGACTGGAGCCCTGTGCCCAGGACACAGATTCTCCAAGGGGAGGTGGGCTGTCCCAGCAGTGCTTGAGGGCTGGACAACCTTGCCTCATGGAAGAGCCACATCCATGACCCAGTTTTCAACGGACTGTTGTGTGGCCAGGTGGTTTGCACTTTGCTTTAGTTTCTATTTAGTGAATTGTAACTCCCTTCTGTTGCTCCCAAGCCTTAATAAAGTTGTGTCAAACATTAAAAAGAATTTTTAAAATCCCCAGTCAAGTCCAAATGTTCAGGTTACATTATAATAAAATTATAAATGAATAACAAGAGTCAATAGAAAATTCCATCTCAGAATTAAAAGCATTCTCTTCAGTAATGATCAGATCAAGGAGAATATAAAAATAGGAAAAAATAATTATTGAGAAATATTTAAAATCAGAACACTATGTATTAAGACACCAGTATATTTTAAATTGTAGAGTAAAATTAGCAACTTAAATCCTTTAATTACTTTTAAAACATCAAAAAATTAAACATTCACATGGACATGAATTCTTAAAGAAAGAAAAGCTAGAAAATGACAAAAAAGACAGCAGAAATAAACGTGAAACACTCCACAGAGTCCTGTGAGACAGCAGAGCTGTGGGAAGCTACTTTAGAGAAAAAGAAAGCATAAAGGAATTAAATTTTACCTCAATAGAGGTGTTTAAAAAAGTGAATTAAATTGGAACTGAGAAAAGTGATAAAAGAATGACTAGAAAGATAATGTTCAAATTATGAAAGTATCCTTTACATGTGAATATTAGTTGCAACTTTTAATAAAAGGAGACATTTTCTGGGAAATTATTTTTAAATGACTCAGGAAGAAGGAGAGAACCTAAATGGACCAGTGAGCACAAGGAAACCCTGGAAGGCACAGACTCGCAATGACCCAGAGGGCTGCAGGCCTGCGTGGTTCGTGGGTGACTTCTTTCAAGCTCAGTAAGTATGAACTGTTTATTCATAACCCCTTCATCATGTAAATGAGGCTGGAACACTGAACAGTCGAAAGATGCTTGATTATTAAGGTCATAAATTTGCCACAGCTCCAACATCAGATCGCTGTAAGGATAACCCACAGGAAGAAAACCGAGCCCACGTGCACATGGGAACAGAGTCCAGAGACCCCAGCTGAAGCCCCACCAAACAGATGGCACCACAGGCCCAGCGCAGGCCCAGGGCCCAGGGGTCGCCCCAGGAAACTGCGTAATGAGACCCACCAACAGCCCGAGGGGAGTAGCAGAGGCACCGCCACTGATGCCGAAACGAGGTCATAAAGATCGAGCAAAACGAGCCGTTTCTCAACATTTTTGTTCTTTAAAAGTAAGGACTAGAAAGACGTCCCCAGCACCCAGCCTGCACCCCCGGGCAGACGGGGCTGTCACTGCCCACCACGCCGAGGAGGAAGGGGGACAGGCCGCCGACGCCAGCGGTCCTGGGAGTATGGGGAAAAAGACAGGAAAAAATAACAAGCATGTGTGCTGTCAAGCTCATTTAAACTGACCATACCTCAATTTTTAAAAATCTCATTTAAAACAAGTGTTTGTAAATAGAGCAGCTACAGACTCAGAAAACGTCGGAGAACAAATTGAAAACCTTAGTAGAATGAAACAGTTATGTAGAGGCTGGACACACGACAAATCCTCCCAGAATCCAGCCGCGCTGGCACCTGAGACAAGCGGGAGAGGGGCCGGCCCATCCCGCGGGACAAAGTGCTCCGGGGCAGACTCAGTGATCAGTGTGGAAGAGCTAGTTGTGAGAAACAGCTAAAGAGACTCGAAGAAGCCGAGAGCCAGAGCAGCTTAATGAAACCATAGTGGGAGAAATCTTCCTCTGGGTAAATGTGAGAAAACAAACGTGAAAAGGAATCACCCTACCTCCTGAGCCAGCGATTCCACCTTCTAAGGAAGGAAACCTGCTATAAAGTGCTTTTTGCATTGGTGTTTATCTCAGGGTAAGAAAGAAGAACGGAATTTCAGACATAAGGAGAGAGTTCATTAAACAGGCTCATGTGATTTTGGAATATTACACAGCCATTTAAAAGCACATTTATAACTATACAGAAATAACTGTATCGAGATATAACAGAGAAAGAGGCAAAGGAAATACTCAAAACTACTTAAAATTAGCAGACGGCCCACCCAGGACACCAGAGCCGAGGGGACAGTGAAGGCTCTGGTGACGCCAGGGCCCTGCTCATCCCCTCCGTCCCTTTGAGGACATGCGTCAGCTGCGGACTCAGAGACCCCGGCGAGGCTGTCTCACCCTCGGCGGAAACAGACGTCTATCTGGTGACGTGGGGCTGGGAGATGAGGCGGGGAGGCCTCACTGTGGTGTGTAGAGGCCGCAGCCTCCCCAGGAGAGCATTCCGGGTCTGTTTTAACTTTCAGCTGCACACAGCCGTTGACCCGAGGGCCAACGGCTAGCCAGCCACAGCCCACGGCAGCACGCAGGCAGGAGGCCGTCTGTGGTCACGGGACTGCAAGGGCGCTGCCTGTGGTGGGGTCCGGACCAGAGGGTGGCAGTGAACCGCCGGGATAGTCCGCCCCCCAAGGGCCCCGTTTAGGCGCCAAAGGACCCATAGCACCATGTGAATATCCACCAAAACCCTTGGAAAGGAACCTGAGAGAACCCTGACGGTGGCTGCCTTTGGGCGTGGGGCCAGGAGCACAGGCTCGGCCTTGGGGTGTTTATCAGTCTGCCCTGAGTGATGCTTTTGAAAGAGAAAAAACAGTTTTTAAAGCACATTCTGTTTCAAGTGCAGACACAAAGGGACTGGTGGACCACGAGCCATTGCTGTGCAGTGGCACCTTCTGTCTGTGACCTTGAGCTGCTCCAAGAACCCCTGCTGGTTCTCCAAACTCCAGGGCCAAGGCGAAGGCCTAGGCTGCACCTTCTGCAGAAGGCTGAACCCTGGGCATCGAGGTGGCCCACGGTGACCCTGGCCCACACCCTGTGGCTGAGGCCCCACGGCCTCTCTGTGGAAGGCTTGGTGGCCTCAGGCTGGCCAGGGGCTGGGGCTCCTCCCAAGACTGGTGTCCAGCAGGTTCTAGGCTTGCCCACGGGCAGGGGTGCTGGCTACAGTCCCAGAGACTCTGCCCTGACTCGGACTCTGACAGGGACAGCCTGGCCTGAGCAAGGGCCTGCACCTCGCCCAAAGCCCACCCTTCCAGCCTAGGGAGGCTAGGAGTGAGGGAGCCCAGAGAGCCTGTCCCCTGCTGACCACATGTTTGGATCTGAGCCTGGAGGGGAGGACCCAGAAAGACTCAGTTCTTGGGACAAAGGGTGACAAAGCAGCATGAGGCACGTGACTCAGAGGCTGTCATAGCATAGACGAGGCCTGGGGACAAGTGCCTTTTTCAGCCACTGTCCACTAGGCGTCCCCTGCAGGCTGAGAAGCAGCCCTGGCCCTTTGCAAGACATCACACCCAGGACACAGCACCATGAGGCCAGTCGCTCCTCCACAGGTGCCCGATGCCAGCTTGTGCCTTGGCCACCAGTGGGGGCTCAGACCATGGGCCCCAGGGTTTCTCCAGCTGCCACTTCTCTTCCCACCGTCCCCCCACAGGACCCCCTGCTGGTCTGAGCTCCCTCCTCAAGGGCCCCTCGAGGCTGGAGGCGTGGAGATGCTGTGAGGGACTCTCGCAACCTGGGACATGCTCGCCCTTGGGGCTCTGCGCCCACGAGTTTTGTGCAGGGGGCTGATGGGTGACACTGACCGCAGCTAGGAGGCCATTGCCATGCTGGCTCAGAGGCCGTGCAGGCATTTGGGTGGACTCCAGGGAGTGACCACACCCAATGCAGATCCCAGTGGCCAGTCCTCAGAGCACCCGGACATCCCACTGGGGAACCGGCAGCTTTGGGAGCAGCTGCTACAATGGAAAAACACCTCACACCCAAGTTCACAGGGCACCGGCGCGGCATCCACCCACCCTCACCATCGCACAGCTGGGTGGCCAGGCAGTGAGAGTGACCACCTACTCCAGGGGACATGGCGCTCGCCAGGTCCCAGGGCTCCTCCGGCAGCAGGGGCCCTGTCTGGAGTCCACACCCCAACCACACAGAGACCAGGCTCATGGCAACCACCGTGCCCCAGCTCACACTCTCCACATGTGAAGAGAGCATTTTCTCACAAAAAAGTTTAAAGCAGAACCAACGACTTCTGCAGAAAGTGATCAAAGTCTGTCTTTCCTGTGAAGTCACAGAAGGCTTGAGTGGCTTCTACACTTACTTCCACCAATGGCTGCTTCCCGCCCCGGTGCAGCTCAGCCACGTGACTGCCTTGGTGGACGGCTGGTGCGGTTGGCACACAAGATGCCATGGCTGGGACAAGCATGCGGGGCCCAGGGGGGCGAGGCCCTCAGGGCCCAGAGGAGGAGCCGGCTGCCAGGCCCACCTGACCCCCCAGGACTGTGACCCTCAGCGGCCACTACGGACAGAGTCCCACCCTCCCACGTGAGTAACCTGCTGCCCGTTCTCCAGGGGTGGCCTTGGTGGCCTAGAGACAGGGGACACACAGGACACACAGCGGGGTGAGCAGCTCGGCCCCGGTCCGCCCAGGCCTGGGGCTCACCTGCACTCCCGGGGGAGCAGTCCTCAGGGTAGGCAGGCACCCTGGGGAAGAGGGGGTCGCGGGCCCCTGGCCCCCCTCTCTCCTGGCAGCCCTCCCGGAGCAGGCGCTTCAGCATCTGGTTCTCCTTCAGGAGGCGCACCTGCTTCTTGAGGTCGGCGTTCTCGCTCACGAGCCTGTTGAGCAGCTCGCTGCCCTCGGCCATGGCCGTGTCCGTCCACAGGTGCTCACGTGCAGGCCTGCCGCCCCATGGAGGTGGAGATCGGAGCCCAAGACGCTCCAGAAATGCCGAGACCACGGAGTTCCAGCCACCCGGCCTTCCGCGGCCTTGTGATGTCGCCTTAAAGAGGCAGCAATGGTGTCCTTCCCGCCTTCCCCTGCCTCCTGGCCCCCGGCCACGCGGAGCACCGCCCACAAGCAAGCAGAGGAGGGCATGTGAGCAGCGGGACCGGGCAGATTCCAGGGTGGGGGCTGAGACTCACGCAAGGAGGGCACCCCAGCAGAGGGAACAGCAGGTGCCAAGGCCCGAGGCAGGAGCCTTCCAGTGCATTCTGGGAACCCAGGGCTGAGGGAGACGTCCACAGGCCTGGTGGGGCTCCTGCCTTCACTGAGCGACCCTGTCAGCCACCAGCCTGCAGTGTGGCTCCCTGACCCTTTCCCCCTGCAGGGCCAGCCGAGCCCACAGAGGCAGGTGGTCGTCCCCTAGAAGCTGGACAGAGAGTGTCTGGCCTGCAGACTCTTATTCCAGTGCACCCCTGGGATGCACATTTGAGGGAGAAGGAGACAGTGGGTGCAGAGGGAGGCAGGCCCAGGGTGCCCCCGACAGCTCCCATAGCCCACGGAGCACTGGTGGACTCCGGGGAGGCCACCTGCTGACTGCACTCCCCGAAGGATCCAGGCAGCACCTCAGCCTCCTCACACGGACCACGAGCACTGAGTGTCTGGGACACTGACCTTTACTGGACCTGAGGGCCCCCAGCCAGGGCACAGGGTCATGTGGACCAACCACACACGCAGTCCCACCAAAGTGCGACTCCAGTCGCATTGGTGTGACCACCGTGAATCCCACCCCTACCCTTTCACTCACTACCCATAAGGTAAACTCAGCACTGTGTCCTGAGGAAGGACAGAGCCCAGAAAAGGAACAGCACGTCCTCCCTCCCCTTCAGCCCTGATGCCCACCCAGGGAGGAGAAGCAGCCTCCAGGCGGAGCACAGCCTTTAGGTCCCCCAGACCAACTGCTCAGGTAGTCACCTCAGGGCAGAAATCCTCGGGTTGGCTGGCAGAGAAAGGATCCCTAAGTCCCAGCCATCCCTTCTGCATCCCGGGAGAGCGGGAATGCAGACAGTGGGAATGCGGACAGCAGGAACGCGGACAGTGCCCACTGAGGAAGGCAGGCAGGGGCCTCCAGGATCCTGAGGACAAGGCCAGGGCGCGCGAACGGCTCCCTCTGCTGCCTCCAACCCTCACAGTTCTTTCCCACCCCAAGAAAGCCCTCTCCAGGGTCCTGCCAGCCGGGGACCTGCCAACATCCGTCCTGTTTTCTGGTCCTGATGCACTGCTCTTTTAATACACTCAACGTGCTAAGTTTAGGCTTTTTCTATGTTCGTGAGAGAAATTGATCTGTCTCCTTTTCTGGCCATGACTTGGTCTGGTTTTGCTATCAAGGTCATAGTGGCCGTATAGTGATTCGCAAAGGGTTCTCTCCTCCATTTTCTGGATATTTGTGTTAGACTGTTATTTCTCTTAAATGTTTGATAAATTCACCAGCAAATCCGTGTGAACCTAGAGTTTTCTTCTGGGGAAGTTCTTAACTTCTAATTCAATTTCTCAAATAGACGTAAAGTTACTTAAAATTTCCATTTTCTCTTACGCCCATCTAGATAACAACTATCTTTCAAGGAGTTTGTCCACGTCATCCCAATGGTGGAAGCCTGGAATGCTGGCATCACATAGTTCACAGCTCCCTATCACCCCTCTGTGACCTCTGAGACTAATCGGTCCAGTCAAGGCGGAAGACACACCGTGACCGTGCAGACCCAGCGTGCAGTCAGCAGGCTTTTGCAGGAGGATGTAAAGCAGAGCAGTGGGAGCCGTGGCCCCGAGGCGGGCGCAGCCTGGCCGGCTCGCTTCCTCAGGGTGGGTGGCTGTGCGCCCTTTCTCAGTCTCAGCCTAAGTTGTTAGCTTTCTCACCTCCCCTGACTGGAGGACTCACTTTGGTTGCACTGATCTTCTCCACCAGTTCTTCTGGAGCATTTGATTTCTTTTATCCAGTGTTTCCTTCCTTCTACTTACTTTGGTTTTAAGATTCTTAAGGTGGACACTTTGACCACTGATTTTAAACCTCACTTACAGCATTAATAACAAGGCTGTAAACATTTCTCTAAGCTCTGCTTTCACTACATACACAAATTTTGAAGACATGTTTTTATTTTCATTCAGGTTGAAGTATTTTTTAATTTTCCTCGTGCTTCCATTTTTTACCATAGACGACTTAGAAGTGTATCTTTTCATTTTCAAAAATTTGGGACTTTACAAATCCTGTTACTGATTTCTAATTTAACTCCATTGTGGTCAGAGAATACACTCTGTATGGTTTCAATCCTTTTGAATTTCTTGAGACTTGTGTCATGACCCAGCATGGCCTATCTTAGTGAACTGTCCATGGCCGCTTGGAAAGAACGCGAGCAGTTATACAAATGTCAACCACGCAAGCTAGTTGAAGATTTTCTCTACAGTTGCTGAGACAATTATTGAAATCTCCCACTTTAACTCTCTTTAGTTCCACCAGCTTCTGCTTCATGTGTTTTGGAGCCGTTACTAGGCGGTCCCTGTGGAGTCCACGGTGACCAGCGCCTGGTGGAGGGCGCTGCAAGGAGCAGCCGAGATGCCCTGTTCTTGAGGCAGTGGGACGGGCATCTCCTAAGCCACAGGGGCCTGTCTCACGCTGAGTTTCCCTCTCCAGTTGCCTCCTAGGAAGTCCAGCACTGTGTCTGGAGGCCAACAACAGCAAGCGAACAAGACCCCGGCACATACCCCGTGACCTGACGTCCCTCCCAACCCCACCTGACCTTCTTGCCCTCACGTCCCCTTGTCTATTTTCAACCTAAATTTCCTTTTGAAACAACGGGAATTATTAGTAATACTTTACACTGCAGATGGAGAGATGAAAATAAATCAAGCCAACCAATTAACCTATCATTATTGCTAAGAAATGAGAAAAACGAGGAAGCAACAGTTGACGGCATTGATTTTTTTTTTAAACACTTTTGTTGCCTGAATAAGATCAAATCACGTAACAATGTTGGTTACACTCAGTAAGGAAGTGTTCTCCTTGAAGCAAGTTTCCACTGTGAGTGAAAGAACCCACACAGGCTCAGACCTCAAGTTTACATCCCAGTGAACACAGAAAAGCCAACATGGCTCCAGAGAGAATTTCCCACACGTTCAAAACCCGCTCCCCATAACCAAAAATGAAATGATTTGAATTCAAGAATCTTCATTCACCCCAGGAGAGAGATTTTTGATTTTTAATCAGGTCGAGGCAAATAGTTTCCCCTCAAATAACTGGAGGTGCGACTGCCCATCTTTGAACAGCTTCTCCTGTTCCCTGAGACTAAGGGACAGTGGGCCAGCGTCCGGTGTGGTGCCTGAGGGACCGTGACCGTTTCCATGAGGAGACAAAACACAAGCAGGATGGGCTTCTGCCTAAGGGACTCAACGTCCGCTTGTCAAGGTAGCCGGTCAGGTAAGTGACTTTCAATAGCATTTTCTGTATAAAAGGAGATTTTCATTTCTTTTCTGGAAGCTTTGTGCTCCATCCAGGGCTCTGCCCACGGCTAGGAGCCAGCCAGGGGCAGCGGCCACTGCAAGGAGCAGACTGGTAACTCACCGTCTGCGCTGCTGGTTCCCGGGGGGCTGGGGAGGCCACGGGCCAAGAGAGGAAGTGCAAGAGCAACCCCCCAGGTTTCACAGGGGCCCCAGCACAGGCCCCTCAGCACAGGCCCTTCAGCAGAACAGACCCCAGAGGAAGATGCCAGGGAAGAGCTGGCATTCAGCTCGCGCTGGCTGAGCACCCACCACGTGCCACACGGTGTGGCAGCCAGTGGAGCCAAGACAAGGCCCTGAGGACTCAGCGCAGGCAGGAGCGCCACCCTGGGGCGGGTCAGCTCAGGTGAAGGCCCTGCAGCAGGTGAGCCCCAGGCAGAGACAGGGAGCTGCAGGAGTTAAGGCCACATGGTGCACGGCCTCGGAGATGGCCTGACACTGGGGGTTCCGGGCAGGGAAGGCGGAGCAGAACAGCATCCAGAGGTCTCTCCGGCTGCCTGATAGAGGACAGTCAGACGGGAGCACAGCCAGGGCTGCCAGACCACGTGGGGACCCTCAGGTGGACGAGAAGCAGGTGGGGGCCCTGGGGCAACATCGGCCTAGGTCTGACCCTCTTTGAAGCTCCTGGTGGACCCCTCACAGCCATACCCCGCGAGCCCTGAGAATGTGAACCACTCATCCTCGTGGGTCAGAGGCAATTCCAGAACATGGATTTTCCATCCTAAGTCCCAAGGCCACACGCGCCAAACCAGAGGGTCTAGAAGCCAGGGGGGAATTGAAGGCTTACTACCTGACAGGCAGCACCCTGGAGACTGGACCCTCACGTCAGCCAGAGCACAAAGGAGGTCAGAGGCAGCCACGAGGGTGCCCTGGGGCAGTGGCCTGGGTCCAGGTGACATGCCCGCTTGGCTGCCTGCAGCAGGTGGTGAGTGATGGGCTGTCCCCAGCACACAATGGTGACCCCTGGGGTAACCATCAGACCACTGATGTCCGTCCCCCTTTGCTATGTGTGGCCTCCCGGGTGCATTTCTGTCATTACCAGACAACTGTGACCTCTGGATGTGGCAATGCTGGCAGGTGTGGGCGGGCTGGAGAGCCAGGGCAGGGCCGCCTGCAGGGTCTGGCTCCCCTCTGAGCAGCCGCGGTGACCAGGGCCGCCCAGCCTCTCCCCAGAGGGCTGTCTGGGGGGGGGGGGGTCACATCCCTCAGCCGGAGACTCAGAAGAGGCAGGAGACGGATGACGCCTAGCTGCTCCTCTCCCGGGAACTCAGTCATTGGTCCAGAGAGCCCACCCGGTCGCGCCCACAGCAAGGATGCACACTTTACCCAAGGTCACAGCTCATCCCGTCCCTCCCTCAGCTGTTCTCAGAAATAAACCTAAAAAAGCAGTGTCTAAGGCCAGCTGCCCTGTCCCCGCCACAGGCAGGTCTCAGGACTCCTGTTGAAGTGGGCAGTGAGGGGGCTGGCGCGGCCCAGCCGAGATGCCCCAACCTCGCCCAGAACTGACCAGCCCCCCAAGCCCCACAGATGTGCTCTCAAGGGTGGCCGGCGAGGGCGCTGTCGGGGTACAGGCGGAAGAAGCGCCCAAGAGCCCAGATGGGGAAGACGTTCCTGTAGCTCGTGTAGCTGATGGCGCAGGACTTGTTGAAGACCCCAGCGATGTTCTCCTGGGAGGACACAGGGAGAGAAACCCGCCTCGGGTGGCTGGGCGGCTCCCTGACTGCTCACCTCAGCAGGTGGTCCACCCGCCATCCCAGCTCTCGGACCCCACGCCTGCAGCAAGCCCTCCAGTGCGGGGCCCCGGCCCCTCACAGCCACATCGACCCCAGACGCATCCAACAGCGGGTCAGGGGTCAGCCTCCTGTGACCCCGTGACCCCACGCCCGCAAAAGCAGGTAGAGGCTGCCTCCTATGCCTCGTTCTGAGTGCGGGGCGTCAGACAGAGCCCCAGGGTGTGCTGGCCCGTGGGATTCTGCCCTCCAGCTCCTCCCTGGCCCCACCAGCCCTGCCCCCGAGCCAGGGCTTCATCTGCAAACAGCCCAGGACCTCGAGACCCAAGCAGCAGCATGGACCCACTTCCAACAGAGGCCCCTCACTGGTACTGCTTGCGTCTCTCAGATCCCCAAAGTGAGCCCCTGCCTGTGAGCCCCGTGAGGACGTGGGGGCAGGTGGGGCCCAAACACACTTGATGGAGGTCACGCCGGCCCACGCATACCTGGGGCCAGTCGCCATTGGGCAGCTGTTTTCCAAGCAGACAGCTGACTCCTCTCTCCAGGGCCGCTGCGTCAGGGTGCCTGGAGGACGAGAGCGCGAACACTCCTGCCGCCACTGGATGAGACCAGCTCTGGCTGCAGACAACCCTGCGTCCTCACCCTCACACGGCAAAGCATAAGAACAAAAACGTGAAACGCTGCACAATGAGGGACAGCCCTGAACCGCCACACCCGCTGGCCACAGTCACACGCCGCTCCCCCCAAGAGGCGGGAAACGCTGCAAGGTGGAGTGAGCAGGCAGGAGGGCCGCCCATGATGTGGCCAAGCAGCCCTGCCACGAGCTGGGCTCTCCTGTCCCCCGGACACGTGTCCGCCCGGCCACTGGTCCTCAGAGCCCTCTGCAGGCTACAGAAGCCATGTGTGCTAGTTCTCGTTCATCCAGGGCAGAGGTCAGACGGCAGAAGGCTCGACGGTGTAGGAAGCAGCCCAGCAGCGGAGGCAGACCGAGGCCAGTCCCAAACCCCTGCCCCCGGGGCCCCCAGACTCCACTGCTCCTGCTCACACTGACATGGCCATGTTTGAGGGGATTTTAGGAAGATTTCCCAATGGTCCCAAACCCGACAGGGCAACACAAACTGAGATGCTGTGTGCACCTGCGTGTGCATTTGTCCACGTGCACCTGTGTATACACCTGTGTGTGCATACATCCACGTGCCTGTACACCTGCGTGTGTGTACTCCATGTGCACCTGTGTGCGCACCTGCATGCACACCTGCATGTGTGTAGGTCCACGTGTATCTGTGTGCGCCTGCGCGTGTGTGCTGGGTATGCACGTGCCTAAGCACATCCCTGGCCCAGCACTGGCTGTGGGCACAGAGTGGCTGCAGGCGCAGCCACACCTCGCCCTGTCAGTGGGTCCCTGCTACCCTTGCTGCCACTGTCAGGTATCCTCTCTGCAGGGCCCTCTTTGCAGGACCCGCCACCTGGCCCTGGGAACCAGTCAGGGTGGCTCCGCAGGCCTTGCCTCCTCCAACGCCTGCTCTCGGCCTGGCCGCCACACCCGCCACGGCTGCCGGGTTCACTGTCCCTCCTTCACCCGACCCCCGGTCAGCGACAGGTCTGGTCACCCCTACCTGACAGCCATCAGCCCCATCAGGGCCCAACACGTGTTGTGGATCTGGGACTGGGCACTCTGCACATAGCGCCGCTGCTCGCAGGACTCGAAGTCCTCCCCCCAGCCTCCGTCTGCCATCTGCCGGGCCAGCAGGAAGTCGCAGGCCTGGGAGACCTCAGCACAGGCCACCCTGCAGGGCCAGGAAGACAGGAGCCACATCACCCAGGGGTCCCAGGGCCCTCTCCTCACCTTGGCCAGGCCTCCTCGGGGCACTTGGCAGGGGCACCAGGGGAAGCCCACGTCTGATGTGACGAGGCGGATACCTGCTCCCGTGGTTGTTGGAAGACAGAGTGAGATGCTATGTCCGTGCAGATGGCCTCCCAGAGGGGACCACCCCCTAAACACCTACCCAGCAAACAGAGCTGGGGGAAGTGGACAGAGACAGCTTGACCCAAGGCCTCTCCCTTCTCCCAACCCAGCCCAGCCAGTGTCCTGGCCTCCGGCCCTCCTGTTCCTGCCTAGTGTGGGGTTTGCGCGTGGGGGCCAGGCCAGCTGTGGGAGGACAGAGGGCAGAGGCACCCTCCACCACACGAGTCAGGAAGCACCTTTACCAGACGGTGCTCCTGGCTCAGCAGCCCGGGAAAGTCCTCAGTGCAACCTGGTGACTCGTATGTTTCCAGGAACACTGACCTTATCTTACTGTTTGTAACACCCCCAAATCATACATCGAAGAGAGAAACATGCCCAGGAGAGTGTCCTGCTGAGAAGCTCCCCTACCCCGCTCCCCCACGGGGGGAACGCCCACACTCACCCATCGTGGTATGCATGTCCCATGCAGGCGAAGGCTTCCAGCCCAAACCAGGTGCCGTAGGTGAAGCACACCCCCCAGGAGCTGCCAGGAGACAAGGAGGAAACAGGGCAAAGACCACAGGCTTCTGGCACGCCCTCCAGCCCGGGGGTGAGGGCAGGGGTGCAGGTATTTTCAAGAAAGAATCCACGGGGCCTTCCACACTAAGACACACCCACCCTGCCCGGCCTCAGGGATAGTTCCATGTGCTGGAACCACCGAGCAAGACGAACTGACCCAAGCCCATAGGAAAGGATGAGGAGCCACCACCACCGTCAGGCCGAGCACCTCCAGCACACTCAGCTGAACTCCTCTGAGTAACGTGCTGCGCGACCACCACCAGGGCAAAGGCCTGGCGTTCAAACTGGAGAAGGCCCACCAGGAACACGTCCAGAGGCCTCTGGGCAGCACGAGCCCCAGCGACCCCACCACGTCTGCACCCACAGGCGCCACTCACCCCTCCCAGGAGCCATCGGCCCTCTGCTTCTGCCGACAGTACTCCAGGCCCCGCTCGAGGGTCTCCCTGGAACACAGAAGGGCGACCTGATGGACACTCCATAGAGATAGCAACTCACCTACTACTCCAGTTCCGCCGCTCCACGGGCTCCCTTAGAATACGTGGAATAAACCACTCCGAGCGGAGCTGCAAGTTGAAGGGCAGTGGCTACAGGCTCGGGAGGGGAGCAAAGGGGCAGAGAGAGGAAATGCAAGAGGACAGTCGGACCTCAGGGATGAACCCACATGAGAAGCGGCCACAGACAGGCTCAGGGTTCCTGAAGGCAAGGCCAATGACACAGGCTTGAGTGAAACGCACAGAGGAATTTTTTAAATAAATTAAAAATGAGGGAAAATGACACATTCAGCAGACAAAGAAAGCCCATCGCAGGTCTAACTGGTACTTCTGAAACAGGCCTGGTTTCTCTGAAAAGGCCAGAGCTGAAGGTGCGAGCACAGCCTTCAAGGTGAGCACCCGCCCAACCCTGACCCGCCTCTGGGAATGCAGTCCCACCTGGCGCCGGTGCCCCGTCTGTGACCAGCTGACCCGCAGGCTGGCTTTCCTGTAGCCACCAAAGAGGCCTATGGGCAAGAAGCTGAGTATGGCTCCAGCCAACAGTCAGCAAGGAAAGGGGGCCCTGAGGCTGGCATTCTGCAAGGGGTGGAAACCTGCCAACAAGCAATGAGCTCGGGGCAGGTCCTCGGTCGACGTTCAGACGAGGCCCCAGGCCTGGCCAGTGTCGTGACTGCAACCTGGGAAAGCCCCGAGGGAGAGGCCCCCGCTCAGCCGTGCCTGGAACCCAACCCATAGTAACTGTGAGCTGACAGCCAGCGAGTCTGCAGTCATACTGCCCCTCAGTGCAGACACAAGCACTGAGGGTGAAGGCACAAGCTGGCGGCAGCCACAGAAAAAGGAGGGGCAGCTACAGGGACAGTGCAAATTAGAAAGTGAAGAGGAAACAAGAAAGTTTCCGACAATACATTTGAAAACTTAGGTAAGACATGCAAATTGTTTATTAAATAAGAAAATTAACTTATTAAAACTGACTCAAGAATAAAGAGCCTGGATAATCCTATTCACTAATGATATGAATCCAAAATGTGAACTCTGCCCAGAAAAAGAACTCCAGGTCTTGGTCTTTTACAAGTGAACGCTACTAGATTATCAAGAGCAATCATCCTGATCTTACACAAACTCCTCTAGGGAACAAAAAGGGGAAGGAACACTCCAGTTCATTCTGCGAACCCGACATAGCCTTTCAGCAAGCAGACGAGCGCGACGTGGTGAAGACAAGGCTCCAGGCTGCTCACTGATGAGCACAGATGAAACCTGAACTAAACATGGGGAGACGGAACACAGCAGCGGTCTGTCAGTACTAAGTTAAGTTTGGCCAGAAGTGCAAAGGTGTTTTAACATTAGGAAAAGCTAAAATAATCGTCTATAGCACTAAAGGATAAAGGAGATAAATATATAATCATCTCGGTAGAGACAGGAAAGTCATCTGCTAAAATACAACACCTATTCACCACAGAGAGAAAACATAACTCAGCAAACTGTGAAGGGAAAGAACTCTGTTAACATGAAAAGGGGTAACTACCAAAACCCTAAGGCTAACATCATTCCTAATGGAGAAGTACTAGAAACATTCTCCTTTGAGCCCCAGGGCCTAAGTGAGTGGCTCACTCCTGACGCCAAGGCTGGCGGTGTCTGAGCTCCTGGCCCCGAGCTCACCGCACCTGTGCTGAGTGACCAAGCGCCTCCCCGCCGAGGCCGCCCTTACCTGACCTCCCGGGCCCTGTGGTCCGGGAACTGTTTGTGGAAGTGCTTCAGGGCCTGCATCACAGCCGAGGTGCACTCCACGTACGTGTAGTCAATCATGATGTCCCCTGGGAAGGGAAGGGCAGATTTAGGCAGGTGAGCTTGCCCTCAGCTGCCCGACTGGGCAGTCATGCAGAGTCTGCACAGCACGTCACAAGCCTGCCCATTCCCCAGGGGAGACGAGGCAGTGTCACAGCAACCGGCCACTGAGTGGGAGGGTGGCACCTTCACGGGTGGCCCGGGGCCCATCTGTGCTGCAGGACAGCCAGCTCAGTGGGGGAAGGAGCAGGGCACACAGCAGAGCTGCACTCTCTGGAAAGGCATCGACTGGACCTTGTTTGTCAATTACAGGAAAGTGATCGATGCAGACCTGGCTGGAGGGTACGAGGCACAGATGCTACCTGAGCACGCCGCGGCAGGAGGACACGGGCGAGCGGGTTCCTGCTGTCACCTCCCTGCGAGGAGCCTGGGGCTCCGTGAGGACCTCTCAGGAGACAGGCCGGCCTCCACGGAAAAGAGCGTGAAGCCGGCCCACGTTCAGGCCAGAGAGCTGGTGTGAATCCTGCCAATTTCTGAGAGACGGACAGCAGCTGGGCCACCTACAACCAGGGTCAGTGCCACCCTCGGAAGCTGAGGAGCATGGAATCCCCCAGGGCCTGCGGGCTCCTGGAGCATCCGCCAATGTCTGCCAACGCATTCGCTGACACTGCCTTCTGCCAGCGGAAAGAGCTTGGGCTGTGGAGGAGAACCCGTCTCAGACACACAGGACCCCCACATCTGCGGCTGTACAGTCATCTGACTACTCACCGAAGACCTCCGAGGGGTTCAGGAGCTCCAGAAGGTGTCCCCCACGCTTGGTCTCATAGGTGGCAAACCCCCCATCAGGGTTTCTCATGCTCAGCAACTAAAACCAGAGAGGGAAGGTCCTGAGAACCTGCCCACGCACCAAGCACACACAGGAGCCCACAGACTATGACAGAGTGTTCCGGAAACACCCCAAGGCTAAGAACCGAGGGGAATAGGAAGCCGGCTTTCATGTTAAACCAAGAGCCTCGGGTGCCCAGAACAGTGGATTGCAACCTTTATCAACCAGGCACTCCGTGACCACTTGCGATCACTCTCGACACGCGCATGCTCATCACTTATAAGTCACGTGTGTGCCACGGAACTACGTGATCTCCTCCGTAAAACTTGGACAAAACCTAGACGTGCTAGGAGGGTTCTGCCCAAAACCAAACAGCTCTCCTGTTTTCATGCAACCAGTGGAGAATGCCAGCCCTCCCAAGCGAGGCCTGTGGGAGCAGCTGGGTCCATAAGCCTCCAGAACCAGAACCCCCTTGGTCAGGGATCCTGCCCCCTGCCGTCTGGCTGGCCCAGGACACCGGCTCACACCCACCAGGGAAGCCCAGGACCCCTCCCAGAGGGTCTAGGCTCACGCCCAGCCAGGGCCTCCCGCTGGCCCTGTGCAAGTTCAGTCTTCCATGCACAGATGCCGTCAGAGGACGTGCCCCTGCAGGTTCCCACGGTCTGGTAAGGAGCTCGCCAGATAGAGCCCATGGGGAGGGGAGGGCACAGCGCCCTCAGCACCCTGTGACCAGAGCACCACCCCCACAGCCTCACCACAGCGACAGCGTCGAAGAGCTGCTCTTGTGGGATGTGCTGGGTGACAAAGGGACACTTCTCCTGCAGGAGAAGGACGGACTTCAAGGCCTCAGCGGTGCAGTCGGCGACAATCCAGCCACAGTCCAGCGTGCTGAAGCTGAAGCCACCCTGGAAAGTGCAGGGCTGTGAGTATGGGCAGAGGCCGAGCGCACGCTTGGGCCTCGGGGCCACCCGAGGCTGTGGCACCTCCCACACCCACGCAGAGCCGAGGCCCGTCCGCTGCGGAGGGACAGCCGCCGCCCCAGGCCACACATACGTGGACGGGTGTCTGACTCCACAAGGACTACAGCCCCTGAGCATCACGCCCTCCGGGTTTCACCACGGGACAGGCACAAGCGGCCCGCCGTGACAGCGCCCACACCTCACGCGCCACAGGAGCTGCCCTCCCTGCCTCTGCCGTCTCTCTAGCTCATGTTCTGACAGCTTCTCTAACGTCCCTGTTGTGACACATGGCGTGATGCCCACGCGGTTCAGCTACGTCTGTGCAGGCTCCTTAGTCAGGAACACCCTGGGTGCGTCCATCAGAATAGGAGGCCCCAGGAGGCTGAGGAAAGCGCCCCAGAGGCGAGGCGAGGCTACCTGGGTGGCGGGCTGGCGCGTACCTTGCTCATCTGGCGGTAGTACTTCTGGTAGTCGGGGAAGTTGTGCGGGACCTGGGCAGCATCCGAGGGCACATGTGGGAAACAGGGAGGAGATGTCATCACTGAACAGACACCAGAGCAAGGAGGGGTTGGCACAGCAGGACGTGCGGGGCCCTCCAGGCGGTGCCCACTGCCCCACCGCCCCGCCCTGAGTGGGCCATGCCCTGAGTGGAGAGCAAGAGGTGAGAAGGTGCCCCGCCCAGGGAAGGCATGGCTGGGCTGGTCTCACCTGGGAGACCCGGAGGTACTCGTGCGCCTTCTGCAGGCAGGACGAAAACTCAGGCCTGTGTTGTGCACCCGCCTGGAAGGGAGAAGGAAGTGAGTGGCTCACCGGCAGAGGCCTGCACGGGCGACTGGTCCCTGGACGACCCTGGCGACACCTGACCACCACTGGGGACCAGGAGCAACCCAGCCAAGTCTAGGGATGCTTGGGCTTTGCAGACAAGTCAGAAAGATGCACTGGAGCAACGAAGCGGGCAGAAGAGATGGTCCACACCACGCCAGCCCCGGCCTGTGCCCAAAGGGTCCCTGCCTTGTCTAAGGCAGGCCCCCAATGTGGCCCAAACCACCCCCCAGGGCTCCCAAAAGTTGCGCCAACCTCATTCCCACCAGCATAAAAGCACACTCCTGTTTCTCACTAGTACATGTTCAAGGGTACCCGTCAGAGCAGTCTGAGTTCTAAGAAGAGCCTGGAGCCCGCCCCCCCGCCTAGAAGCCCCACCACATCATCTCCTCGGGAACAGCCCTCACAAGGCTCCCTGCTCCTGAAGCCTTCATGCGAGGCCCCTCCCAGAGCGGCCAGGCAAAGCCACTGCCTCAGACCCCAGCTGAGTGAAGGGTCAGGGTCAGCAGGTGCCATGCCCAGCAAGGCGCAGGAATGGACACTCAGAAAGGGCAGTTGGAGGCTGGAAAATGGGGAACAGAGCCACGTACCTCCAGCAGAGCCTGGATGGCGAACGCGGTGTCCCAGACCTGGGAGCCATTGGTGCCCTGCAGAGAGGACAGCATTACCCAGCCGCAGCATTGCCCCCACCCACCCCCGACCTCCTGGATCCGACGGGCACCTAGAGAACCAAGCAAGGGTCTCAGGGCTTCCACCAGCTCCTGCAAAGAGGTAGAAGCCCAGCTGACTCCTGGCCCGAGGCTCTGGGCCCTGCAGCCCTAAAGCCCACGAGGGCCTGAGAGGGACTGGTCCTAAAGGTGGACATGGACAGGAGCCCCCCCCTGCCTTCAGCAAGCCAGCAGCTGGGACAGGGCTTTCTCAGAGCACTACCAGGATTTGGATGACCACTGCCCATGGCCTCCACTGCTTGCCCATTGCTTTATGGATAATGGCGCAGGGTGAGCAGGATGGTGACAGGCATGTGGGTAACAGGGGGTGAGCAGGATGGTGACAGGCATGTGGGTAATGGGGAGGGGAGGCTACACGGACATCGCGGCTTTGCAGGACGATGTGTGGCAAGAACACACAGCCAGGACAGCCGCCGGGCCAAAGGAAATCTGAACTAGATCAAGCCTCAGGGCCTAACACCAGTTTGCAAAAAATACAGGGCACAGAGCAGGTGGGCACTCTAGGGACAATCACCCCAGAGAGAACACTCAGGAAACTGTTGAACAAGGCAACTTCAAAGTTCAGACTCTCAGATGGAATCCTGATACCAGCGAACCCACAGTGAAACCCCACTGAGCTCCATGGGGCTGGCACAGAGGTTTTGTAAGAGCCAGAAGTCCCGTGAGCTCCAGCACTGGAATGTCAGAGGGGACGTGGGGCCACTCAGGGGCCCGTCACCCTCCTCCACTTTGAGTTTTTTGGGAACCATTCATGCAAGACCGGCAGCGTAGGGGTCAGAGAGCTGGGCGTGGGGCTTGAGGCACATCTGGTAAGTGCACGGGGTGGGGCAGCGGTGGTGCTGGGCCCACGTGTGCCCATCCCAAAGGGCCCAGAGGCCAGTGTGATCCAAGAGCATTGCTGGAGGAGCCACATTTCCACACTGAGTGACAGCAGACAGCCCCGAGGGGGCCCTACAGCTCCCAGGCCCCTGCAGCCAGTACAGGACCAGGTTAGCCCAGGCTGCCCTGGGACCCAGAAGCCCCACGCCCAGGCCCCCAACACAGGAAATAAGCCAGGGGAACACCACCTACAATAACCAGACCACCGAATCAGCCAAACAGCATGGAATGGTGGCCCGGTGTGCACAGGGAAGGGCCACCCAGAGTGCGTCCCCGGACCCTGAAGAGGCAGCTCTGCAGGTGCTCAGCTAAGGGCAGTTGGGAGCGCGGGCTCTCCTGACAGGACCCAGCTGCTGTCCTGCCCCCGTCGGCCAGACCCAGCACGCGAGCTTTGAGATCAGCTATCCAGCAGCAGTCAGGCTGGCAGAGCCTGTCTGCATCCCGCTGGACAGCACACATCCAAGGGACACCCAAGGGCCGCCAGATGCAGGACCAGGTGGGAACAGCGGCGCTCACCTCGCGCTGACAAAGCTAGTCAGGAAGAGTGACTTGGGGATCTTAACAAACCCGAAAGGCAGGAATGGTCACAAGGAAGCCAGTAGCTAAGGCCCCACAGCCCTCACCTGCATTTTCATGCCGTCGAGGCCCAGCCTGTTAAGAGAGGCGTCCAGGTCAGGGTACAGGGCACAGAGCTGGAGGTCAAGGTGGCCCAGAGCCCTGGTCCAGAGAGCAACTCACTCGCTCAGCAGGGGCGACGGGACAGCTCCCAGCCCCACCCAGCTATGAGGGGTCACCAGAGGAAGAGGGCTGCCCTTGAACACAGGACCCTGTGGGACACTGGGCCATGCCTACCCTCCGTGGTCGCCTGCAACAAGGGGCCCCCACTCTGGGGTACCACCCACGACTGACCAGTTCTCCTGGTCAACAAGGCCTTCCTGACACGCCACCCAAGGCTTCCTACTCTACCTTCTGGAACCACCTGAAGTTTCCAAGCTTCCACAAACCCTCAAACTCCTGGTCCCAAGTGTTACTCCAGGTGCGCGGCACCCTCACCAGGAAGCCACACTGTGGGATCACGCCTGGCCTTCCCTCAGCCCCGCCCTTGCCCGCCGTGCTTACCAGAGGTAATCAGGAATCCTGGAGACGTGCTCCTGGAAGGCAGTGGAAACCGGCCCGTCCACATACCAGCGCACGAGCATGTTGATGGTTTTCGAGATCTGGAGGAGACACAGCCTGGTCAAGCTCTGCTCCACGCCTGTAGGGGTTCCTGGGCTGGAGGGCCACAGCCTGACCCCACGAGGCCCCAGCACAGCCTGGCTCCCGGACACTTTCCCAAGCACTTGCTGCTTCCAGGCCCCAAGATGGAGAGATCGGGCTGCAGCCTTGCCCCGGGAAAGGGGCCAAGGCACATGTGCGGTGGAGGAAGGAGGCAGGGTGACTCACAAAGGTGATGTGAGCAGAGCCAGCCACCAGGTAATGGGCAAGGCGGGGACCCCAAGCGGGCACCTAGGGTGTGGTGCATCTTGAGCTACCTTAGATAATTCAGGGGGCCAAGGACAGGGCTGTCTGAGGGGCACAGCAGGGACTCAGAGACGAGACCTGCATGGCAGGGTCTGCGTGGTCAGAGCAGACAGTCTAGAGGCCCAGACGTTCCCCACTGGGGTCTCATCAGTCAAAACCCCATTAAGATTCATTTGTAACTTGCTTTACGCAGCATTAAGTCAGAGCCCACACAGAACCCGCTGTTGCTGACAGGGAAACAACGAGCCACTCCGGTGGGGCAGTCGCAGTTTACAGCCCCTGGGGTCCCACATGGCCTGGAAAACGCCTGGGAGCAGGGCCGGGCTGGGGCTCGTGGACAGAGCCCACTGGGCTCAGAGAACCCATGGGCAGACCCAGCATAGCACCACCGTCACAGCCCGCCCACAGGCTCACAACCACCCTGCCTCTGGCACCCACCACCCCGGGGCTGTGGCCAGCCTCCCCCACTCTGCGCTGGCCGCTGGGGTGCATGGCCCCACGAGGCAAAGCCGGATCAGGGGCCCAGAGGCTCAGAGAAGCAAGGGTCCCCAGTCACCAGGCTGGGCAGGAACCAGGAATGGAATGCAAGCACCCTGGCACTCCAACCCCCATAGGAGAAGGGCAAGCAGTGGGTTACTAGAGGTGGGGGGGCCAAGGGCAGAAAAGCAGCCCTCCCCGCTGGAGGCAGTGGTCCAGACACACGGGGTGGTAGGGATGGAAGGGAGGGCCAAGCAAAGCGGTCTGTGGGATCAGAGGCCCAAGTAGGCCCACGTGCCAAATAAAGGACTGGCAGTCTCCAGTGGGAGACCTCGCACCCGTGAGACCCCCTCCCAGCTCCACGGACACAGGCCTCTGGGCCACCTGCCCCAGTCCTCCCCCAACCCCAGCCCAGACCCCCAGTGGGGGTGGGGCACTGACCGGGCCAATGCTGAGGCACTTGGTGAAGCGGTCGTCGGCCACAATGTGCTCATACAGCTTCTGGATGGCCCGCTGCCGCAGGCTGGCACTGTGGTGGCACTCGTACAGGTTTAGGAATGCTGCGGGGGGCAAGGGCATCAGGGGGTGCCAGACATGGAGGGCCTCCCGGCCTCCGCCCAGCCCCGGCACAGGTGCCCCTCGATAGGCAGGCTCTGGGCCCCCACTCCAGTCCTCCCACCAACCCTCTTACCCCCCTGCAGCAGGTGGAGGGCAGGCTCCTGACTGAAACCAGGCAGGGTCCCAGCTCCCACCCCAGGGCCTGTCTGCAGAATGAGTGAGGGAATGAACGCACCCACGCAGCAGGGAACATGACCCCCGGCCGGCCACTCTGAGCAGCCAAGAGGTCCCGTGGGAGACAGGCCTGGACTGGGCCTCGTGGGGTCCTGCCCCTTGCCCCCAACAGAGATGGGACCACAGGCCCCTCAAGGCCCTGGGCTCTGAATCCTCTGTCCAGGAGCCGGAGCCCTAGGCAGGTCCACTGGACACAAGATGCACACAGCTGGCCCCGTCCCCGCAGAACCCAGACACCAGGACAGTGAGAAGAGTGGAGGGGGCTCATCGTGGGCCAGCGTCCCTCCACTCTTCCTGGCACTCTGGTGTCCTGGAGGCACCCACCATATAGCACGTGGAGCAGCCTGCTGTGCGGTGTGTACAGCTCGTCGGGGGCCACGCTGTTCCTGTGCGCCGGCCAATTGATGCAGCCATAGTCCTCCACGTAGAGCTCCTAGGGGGTGGGCAGCATCTCAGACCCAGACCTCCCTCCCCCTTCCCAGGGCAGGCTCTCATGAGCACACTGCACCCCAAACCCCATCCCAGGGCTGCTTCCACAGATGCCCTGCAGCCCACCGCACCCCACAAGCCTCTGAACCGTTGTCCGTTGTGTGGGGGCAGGAGTGGAGGCTCTACCACAGGGTTCTCAGCTCTGAGGGGCCCCTAGGCCAGTGGGCATGCGCAGTGAGGCTCACCTGGCGGAGGCTCTGGACCAGTGGGTCCTCCTCGGCGCTCAGCCGGGTGCCATAGCAGTAGGCCATGGGCAGGTAGACCTGCCGGCAGTGGCACCAGAGCTTGGAGGGGTGCACAGGCATCCAGTCAGGAAACAGCCTGGGGGGGGGCAGTGTGTCAGCAGGGGCCCCAGCCCCCTATTGCAGCCCGGGGCCCATTCAAGCGTGGACACAGGGGTGCTGCTGTCTCTAGAGCAAGTGGGCACAGCCACCGGCACCTCACAGCCATGCTCCTGAGGGGCCCTGCCCCTACACAGGCAGGTCTGCCCGACAGACTGGCCCTCGGCCCTTCATCAGGTCCCTGCTGTCATCTCCGGATGGGCCCCTTCCTCTCACACCTCTGCGCCACCAAATTCATCTAACGCGAGGCCCGCACCCGCCCTGACCGCTTCCTGGGGACCCAATCCTGCGGACAGCGCTCCAGGGATCTCACCCCCTCGAGGTGATGCTGGGCGCTTATATGTACATGACGTTTTCTGGAGAGACGTCCGCAGCCTTCATTAGATACTCACAAAATGTTTGAAAATGCTGGTTTACGGGTGTCACACAACACGGAACTGGTGTTGATTTCGCTGAGTATTTAAACAATACTGTGGTTTTGCTGAAAGGAGCGCTCTCGTCTTTTAGAGATGCACACTGACATGCTCACAGGGGAGCAGAGGTCCGAGATTAACAACACTCACCCGCAAGCCTGACGGGGACAGGAGGCCAGTGCGGCACCCCGTGCGGGGCAGTGAGGGCGGTGCCGCTGTCACCTCTTCACTCTACTCCTACAGGCGCTCCAATAGCCCACAACAGCACGACCCGTGCAACAAGGCCAGCGCCCCACTCCCCACCCAGCAGTCCCAAAGTCAGCCTGGCAGGCCCCTGCCCCAGGCCCAGCCCACAGCACCCCCTCCCTCCCGTCCCCAGGGAGCACCCTTCCGCTGTCTGTGGGACTCAGCCGAGCGAGGGCCCGCCCGGACTCTGACGCCAGCCCACTGCAGAGAATGGACAGTCCCTTATCTGGACAACAGGCAGCAAGTGACCAGGGCTGCGTCACCCTACTCATCAGACTGTGGCGACAGGCCACCAAATCAACTGTAGAGGGAGGCATACCACATTTCTGGAAACAGGGTGTTGAGGCCTTCCCAGCTGTACACGTTCAAGACAGCCAGCCAGAACTTCCCCCAGGAGGGGATGAACACAGCACCACCTGGGGGGAGAGACCAGGCCCCCGTCACGTCTCTGGCTGTTAAGGTTAGACCCTCAGGAATCACGCACACCCCTCTGGAAGGCAGGCCACTAAGGCTCCTCTCCCTGTCATGAGAAGCAGGTTCCAGAACTGCTCAGGACCGAGGCCACCAGTGGAACCAACAGCTGCTCCAGGACAGGAGCATCCAGCCCCTCCCCGCGGGAAGGAGCGCAGGCAGGGAGCAACCTGGGAAGGGGAGTGACCTAGATGCACAGGGCAGCCCGCGTCCATGTGAGCTGGGGGTCGGTGATGAGGGGAGGTGAGTGGAGCCCTCAGCCTTCTCCCTCCTGGGGCCCCGCCTTGTTGCCCCCATCTGTGCTAACCCCACGTGGCACAGTCTGGACTTCAATGCGGCTGTTGGGACACGTGTGGAGCCGCCCCAGGAGCACCCATCCCAGGCACAGAAAAACTGTCCTGGATGTGCTTCAGCAGGAGGCCTCAGCCCAAACGCAGGTGTGCAGAAGTCAGAGACCCACAAAGCCACTGGGCAAGTGTGGCCAGAAGACACTCCTTGACAGGCAGGGAACCAGAAAGCAGCACCGATACCCCGCAGCAGGGAGCCCAGAAGCTAACGACGAATCCATTACAAGAGCAACATTTGCGTGGAGAAGCCAGGCTGTCATCAGAGAGCACAAGGGAGGTGTTGCCAGCCTGGAAGACCAGGAAAAGTGACACCCGATGTGAAGGCTGGACAGGAGTTCCTGAGGCAGCGGGATGCGGTGGAAGGCAGGATGTCCCAGGTGGACAAAGCGGTGCACGCAGAGCGCAGAGGCAGGAAGGGGCTTCAGGGTGCTGATGGAAGCCCCTGCGTGTGAGCAGAGCAGGGAGGACGAGCAGACCGAGGAGTGTGCCTGAGAGGTGGGTGGGCAAGACTGCGCCAGGCTCTGCAGAGCAGCAGTGAACGCTCCAGGGGCAGCAGGAGACACGGGGCCTCCCCGGGATGAGGGGAGAGGAGCCACCCCCTTGAGAACCCGGCCGGGCACACAGCAGACCGAGGGTGGAGGGTGCAAGCAGAGCGCTACTGGCTCCTGCCACTCCCGTGCGGCTGGGCGGCCCTGCCAGGACACCCCCGAGCAGTGCACAAGCCGCTGCCCTGAGCCCACGCCGCCGTGTAAAACAGGCAGAATTATGTGCCCCCTCCTTAATCTACTTTTTAAAAAGGCACTGGAGAGGTCAGACAGTTTCTACCTGCTTCTGCTTTGATGCGTTCCTGGCTCATGTGTTTTACCATGTTTGAAGTGGAGGTGCGCCTGCCTACTTCCCATGTGCAAGCACTCGCTGTGCTGACATAACATGAACTCTTTACGGAGCACGTGCTGTGCAGGGTGTACCTTTCTGGTGAAGAATGTTCCGGGCTCGCACCAGGTCAGGATCGTCAGGCCCAAATCCCAGAATTCTCAGAGACACATAGTTGAGTGCAGTCCCAAACACCGTGGACTTGTCTTCAATGTGCCTATGGGAGCAGGAGATAGGTGAGAAAATGGCATCTTCCATTACTTTCAGTGAAATTTCCTCAAAAAATCAAGAATGGAATAACAAGAACACCCAGAAGAGTCATTCTCCAGCAAGAGCTCCTGCACCTCCCATGACAGCTGAACAGTCCCAAAATCACCCTGCAGGACCTGACCACCTCCTCTGTTTACTTCCCACCCCTGAATCCCACGACCAGGCCCCAGGCAGTGACCCGACTGCACACCACACATGACCAGGGCCCATGGAGTGTACTCCAGGGGCAGCATGCTAGAGGAGGCGAAGGCACTGGTGAGATCTTGAGGCTGCCCCAGGACCCACAGGCCAGGGAGCTGGGACCTGAAGTTCGAGGTGCCCATGAGCCCATACAGGAGACCAGCAGAGCTGCGCTGTCCTCCCAGGATTCTGTAACAAAGGCTGGTGGTGTGGCTACAGCCAAACCAGGAGGGGCCCAAGTCCTCACTGCACGATGAGAGGCACCAGGGCCCACCGCCACCAGGAGGGCAGGCGGCTGACCACCTGGGGAGAGGCCCTGCTCCCAGAGCGAGCACACCACAGAAAGGCAGGCCGAAAGGCGGGGAGAACCGCCCGGCTCCGCCTCTACCTGCTGCTGTTCCAGAGTGGAAAAGTTTTCTTCTGCCTCAGTGATGACAACCAGATGGTTTTCACTGTGGTATGTGGGTCTCAAGAGTTTCTCAATCAGTCATGAAACCCATTACAACACAAGCTGGGAAACCAAGGCCCAGGGTGTGAACAGCCCTGCTCTGAGACCCCCGGGGAAACTCAGGCCCAGTTTGCACACAGCCCCCAGCCTACTTCCTTCCTGCCAGGCTCTCCCTCTGACCCCAGGCCCACAGACAGTCACCCTATCCCTCAACGGGTGCAACCCCTACATAAAACCACGTGTGCACATGCATGTACACACGTGCAGTGATGCCGGGCTGGCAGACTCACAGGCCCCAGCCGCCATCCGGGAGCTGCACAGACCGCAGGTACCGTGCCATCTCTTCCCTGTATCCGGCTGGCAGAGGAATTCGCGCCACATAGCACGTGATCAGGAGGCCTGTGTGGCAGAAAAGATGTTCCTCACTGGGAGCAGGTACTCAGCACTGCCAAGCCCAGGCCCCTTTCCTCCCGAGAAGAACCCCATGCAACAAGTAACTATTGGCTAGGGTCTCCTTCCCAAGGAAACGAGCCTGGGAAGGCTACTCTTCCCAGCCCTCTCGGGGACCTTGGGACTGTGGCCTCATGGAGCAGCAGCAACAGCACAGGTACTTGCACCACATGGGGCGGGCATAGCCCACCCGGACACTCCAGGTCCCGTGCTACTGACACACCTTCTGGGAATGGGGTAACATTTACTTGCTTAACTGTACATTTCCTGTTTTATTAAATTTTTCAATAGCACATGTTCCTTTGCAAAAAGGGGAGATGGACAACAATAAATATTACCCACAAAGAACCTTCTGTTCCCAGCCTGGCCCTCCTGAGCATGGTGCTCACAGGCCGACCCCCATCCCTCCACCCTACCCCTGGCATCGGCTCTATCAGCCAATGCCCACGGCACCCAGCACAGGGAGTCTCAGGCAGGCCCCGGCCACAACACACGCTATGGAACAGATGCCTGACTCAGAGGCATGAGAAGCCCCGGTGGACACACCCACCCAAGAAGGGCAGATAGATGCGAAGATGCCACAGAGATTCACAGAAAACAGCTCATCTCCCTTCGTAACAGGCCTGATACTGTCAAGACAGGGAAACACACAGGCAGGAAGCAGAGCCAGGGTCTTCCCCATTTCACAGGCCAGGAAACTGAAGCACAGCTCTTAAAATGTGGGGCTGGAGCTAGAGCCTAAGAGGTCCAACCACAGAGTCAGTGATCACCACAGTGATACTCAAAGTCACACGGGCCACGCAGAATCCTGACCTCCACAGGCATTTTCCAAATTAAAGCAAGAAAAGACCACGCAAACCTCAGCCAGCCACAGAAGACCTCTGGTATGGCACTCCCAAACAGGCCACTGTCAACCTGAGAAAGATGGTCTGTCCAGAGTCCAGAGGGAGAGAGGAAAGCCCCAGCCTGAAGGGCGCGAGCAGGGCAGCAGGCAGAGCCCAGAGCTGCAGTAGCAAGCACAAGCCAACGCAACCTCCCCATGACCCATCGCCCACAGAGGGCCTGGTGCTGCGCACGTGTGACCACATCCAATTCTCAACACCCCCACATCACAGATGGGGCAGCCGAGGCATGGTGAAGTCCTGTCCCCTTGCTCAGGGGCAGAGCAAGCCAGTGCAGTCACCGACTCCCCAGGAAGACCCCTGGGGACAGTCTCAACAGGCTCCAGCGGGGGCCAAGGTGAGAAAGAGCCCGGTGACTTGCCCCCAGGGACAAGCCCATGGGTCCCCAGACAGGAAGGCACAAAGCTATACAGTCCAGGAGGCAGCAGGGTTTGGAGTCAAAGAGGTGACAGACTTTCAGTGCTGCTCCCACTAAGGGTAAAGGTCCTTTTGCATAAACTCATGGAAGAGAGTTTCCCATATGACAAAACTGAGCATTTCTTTAGAGAAGCATTCCCAGAATGCAAAACAGTCTTGTCTAGCCAAACCAGTTCTGTACCCAGGAGGCCCAATTGCAAGCCTCCTACAACTCACCAACCTGCACCTACAGCTCCCACCTGAGCTCTTTCAGCCACCCCTTCAGGTGAGTTCCCTCATACAAGCTGCCCACGCTGGACTTAAAGATCCCCCTCCACCACCCTGAGCACCTCCAGGACCCTTTGCTTCCTTTTCCGAACACTAGCTAGCTGTGCCTTCTACTCCCATCCCCTGGCACCAACACCAGGACAACCTGCCCAGCCCTTTTCTATGTGAGCTGGTTTTTCACCTGTTCACTCACTCACACCACAAACATTCACCAAGGGCCTGAACCAGATCAAGCCAGGACCCCAAGTATGCCCCAAGGTGGCCTTACCCACAGGTCACAACAGCACCCTCCTACCTGGCAGGAGAAAGAGCGGGCCACCGTAATCACCTGCCCAGTGCCCATCCTCAGCCTGCAGCCCAGCAAAAAATGTCATCCCATTCAGAGCCCCCTCACAGGCGGTGTGGGCTTTGGGCAACTCCTTAAAGTAACTCCTCTGCAAAGGAGAGAAGAGATGAGAGCTGAGGGGTTTGCTGCTGCGTTAGAGAAGCCTTCAGCACTTACAGCCCAAGTCAAAGTAACAAATCTGAATCACTTTGAAAGTTTCAGCTGTTTCAATCAAAAGTCTGAAACTCTGATAATGGTACTGCCGTTTCAGCAAAGAATGGCTCCACACTCTCATGGGTTTGTTTTCCAGTCACACATTTGCAAATTTCTTCACAACTTCTCCAAGACATCTTAAGTAAACCACATGTCCAAGAGTGTGGAGTGGGGCACTGGTGCCCATCCAGACCTGGAACTCAGGCCTCTCTAGGAAAGGGACCGAGGGATGGCACAGTGACAGGGAGATCCCATTTGTGCATGCTACTCTCTGACTAACTGAATTTCTCATACGAAATTCACTGGATCAAAAACATCTTTTTCTGCATAAAAACAAAGTTAGAGCAGCTTCTTACACACAGCTTAGTGATAAAGGGATTGAAGCGAAGGGGTTCATTCAATTCATGCTCTATCGTTACCTCAATTGACTCCTGCAGGAACCAGCTTTGGTGACAGGTGACACAGGTACACATTACACATCCCTTCTTTTTTAACAAAGGGGAAAAACCACCCTTCACATATAGCTGTTCATAGTTCTCTGTTGGCTCTTGGTGCTTGTAGCAAGAGGGGAGAGGCAAGTTTCTGGTCGTGTCCCAGACACTGCAGGGGAGGGGCAGAATCCACACTCACGGTGTCCAGTCCCACGAGGTGAGCTTCCAGCCCAGTCTGCCCTCGGCCGGCGCTCTCTTCTGGGAAGTACGCCCACGTCTGCCTTCCCTTCTCATTGCTGAGTCGCCAGCGGCTGAGGTCGGTGGCCGGCTCTGTCTTATAGGGGCCCCCTCTTCGGCGCAGACACCTGAAAACGATCAGGCTCAAGTGAGTAACCACCCTTCCTGCTCGCTGGGTCAGAGGCCAGGGCGCAACGAACTTAGCGTTTCACTTCAACAACCTACAAGCAGGCACGATTCCTCTAACTTTGCAAAACAGACCCGCCTGGCGCGCTTCTGCATCCAGTTAACACCGCGCCACTATTTCTCCGGCAGTGGAGGCAACTGCCTTCGGGATCCCCGTCCCCCGCCCCAACGGGCTCTCCTCAGCCCGGCCCCAAGCGGCCCCACGGTGACACCGCCGAAGGACAGCCGGCCCCCACCGCCCCCCGGGGCCCGTGTGCCGCACAGAAGGCGGGCGAGGCCGGACGGCGCAGCAGCCTCGCGGGAAGCCTCCGAGCTGCCGAGCCCCCTCCTCAGCGCCCTCGACCGCGCCCTCCCTTCGCGCGGGGTCGCGGCGCGCAGGAACTCACGTGCCCTCCGTCATGACCGCCGCCGCGCTCCGGCTTCCGCGCCCCTGTGCTGGGACCTGTACTTACCGCTGGC